ATATGTTCGGCTCACGAGCCATTTTTCGGTCACTGCGACGCGGATTTTGATCAAGTTGCTTCTTTACTCTTCGAACTATTTCTGCTGATGTTTCTGTTTTCTTCCGTACACTTCCTTGACGTCGGGCTACGCTACCAGTATGACGGTAACGAGCGATGGTACGAGACACAAAAGATTTATTCACAATTAAATGCTGGAGTGCTCTAACAATAGCCACTTATGGTTTTCCAGCCAAATATAATTAAATCACATTATCACGCTGGAATTCCATCCCAAATAATTTTTTGTCTGGAAAATTATCACAATAATGCTTTCGAACGCTTGTATACAATATAATGAGCTGTCACTGAAATAATTTAACAGCTGTCGGATATGTGGCTTAGAAATGGCAGCAGTCTGAATTTGATTGCAGGTTTTCCACATATTTTCCTCAGTCAACAGTTTAACTGTATAGAGGACATATTTGCGGTCATTCTGGGGACATTCTGTATATAAAAAAAAAAAAAAAAAAAAAAAAAAACTTTTCAAGGTTTTCTAGGCACAGAAGGCCTTCACGATGTCGCCATATTGAGAAGACATTCAAAAGTACTACTTAAATTTGAAAAGGACTTTCCAGAGGTCTTCTATATACAATGAACCTTCGTGAGGCCCTCTTTACATATAACTCCGTATCGAGGTCCGTTTTATACAGAAGATCTTCTTCTTTTCTGTACATATAGAACCTGTTAGATGGTATTTATCCTCAGAAGTTTTTTCAAATATATTTTGTGATTAGAAAATCGTCCATAGGTCCCTTCCCTAAGGGCCTTTCTCTAAACTGTATAGAATACGCTTTAGCGGTTCTCTTAAGTTTTCGCTATAGGGATAATCCTACGGAGGGGTTTACTCAAAATAAGGTTATTTATGGACATGGAGTGGTCTTCTTTAGACGACATGTACTTAAGAAGCCTCCTTCAATATTTGACCCTTTATTGATATCATACATAGAAGTTTTTATTCCACCTTAATGTATTCTGAATGACTTTTACACAAAAAAAAAAACTTTCGCGATATCTTCTACAAGTAGTAGCTCTACTGAACATCTCACACACGTTGAAGATTTTGTGTGTTTGGAAGAACTTATGGATGTGTGTTTAAGACCAACGGTACTCGAGAATTTTTTTTTTTATATGGAGGTCTTTTTAATGTTCATGATATATTAAATAAGTCTTTCCATTCACATAAGGCTTGAAGATTTTCTGGTGCTAGTCATCTGCATATAAAACCCATTTCTGATGTATTTTTATATACCATCTATAGTTTGCTGTAAAAATATGATTTTTACAGCTCTTTTGTTTATTAAAATGCTCCCACAGATTTTCTACACATTTCAGATTTTGTAAAGAATTTCTCTGCCCAAAATTATCGCTTGGCGATCATTGGCAAACAACTTAACACTCTATGGAGATGCGCTGTTCGTAAAATAGCTCTAAGGGGCCTTCTTTAACAACTAGAGCTCTCTTAAGGTCCTATATATTAGAGTACATCATGTGTGACATATTTTTAACCAATATTGATGTAACCTAAGAATTCAAGTTCTCGAGAGGCTTTCATTGGAGGTATTTCAACATTGGTCCACATGTTGGCATCTAAGAATTCAAGTTCTCGGGAGGCTTTCCTGAGAGGTATTTCAACATTGGTCCACATGTTGGCATCGATTTGGGTTATTGGGAAAGTCAGATCCATTTTTCATATTATATGATGCAATATAGTTGGATAAATTATACCTCTGGAAAATATGTCCTCACCTGTGCTATTACATTTCTAAATGGAAATCGTTTTCCTTGGTTTTTGTAATAAACTTTTGAGAAACAGAATTTCCACAAATCTTCAATATATTTTTTTATTTCTAATTTGAAATTATGTTTCTTTCCAAGAAATACTTGCTTCTATTTCTAAAAATAACTCTTCAAATCGGCGATATTTAGTTCCTTTTTATTTACCCTCTTTTGTTTTCCTAATTTTCATCTCACACAACAAAAGTCAGTTCATTGTGTTAGTTTTCCATTTAATGGCAAATACTGTTTAAATTATATTTGAACTTATAATTAGTATCATTTTTTGCACTTAACATTTTGAACCAGAAAAAAAAATTCACCGTAACTATGAACGACCAGGTGGCGGCAGTAAGTAAGGGTATTTCCAAATGATTAAAACACATTCACACTCACGCTCACAATTCTAATATTAGAACGAGTGGCAACAATTATTTAAATGTCGAGGGTAGGTGCAATTCGTATCATTAAATATGTATGGAGAATTATAGTAGCATTTACTGTGTATTTCATGGAAAACAATAGTTTCCGTTTAAATTTGAAGGTGTAATTAATGAAATCGGAAAATTGAATCATTGCAAGCAAAAGGTGAATTTAAAAGCAGGAAGGAATGGTCAAAAGTCGACCGTGGTCGACTATATGATACCTATAACTAATGTGATAGCTCCCGTAACAAAGAAAGGTTTTTATATGCAATTTCTGTGAAGTAGATTACACCAAAAGTCAAAAGTAGGGCAGGCCGACTATGTTGTAACCTACACCACTATGCACATTTAGTAGAGCTCCCATATAGCACATTTGGCTTTATAGCAGTTAAAGTTTGCTATAGAGTGCATGATATCACTTGGAGGAGGATTATATTAAAAAATATAAATCGAAGCCTAGTTGCACAAAATAGAAACATACGTCCCGATATTCTCTCCATTTAGGCAGATATAGTCATTATGTGCAGAATAAACCTGAAATCGGATTAAGGATATATATGGGGTATATATTGAAATCTTTGCCGTTCTCGATAAAATTTGACAAAAATGTTTGCGAGCTTTATAAGATATATGACACCAAATATCATTGTTGTCGAATGCATATTACGGAAGGACTTAAACACCATATTCGACGGACCCATGACTCTTTGGGCCCATTCCAATTGACGAGGCTTGTCCGCAGGCAACATTCTTTGCGTCAATTGAATTTTATACGGGAACTAATGCAAATCAATGCGAATAATCCGTTGTAAAGTGGACCGAGCCATGCCCAACTGCTGAGAACGGCGTTTTTGGGATGTTCTTGGGGACCTCTCAACACTGGCTCGTACGGCAGCGATATTCTCGGCCGATCGCCTTCGTCGACTTTTATATGGCCTCTTCGGATTAGAAAGAGCCTTACCAGTCGAAAATTTTTCGTATAAACGCTTAATGGTGTTCTTAAAAGGCGAACTTCTCACATTTCTTAATGTTTTAAAAGCACGTTGAGTTTTCACAATTGACTTCTTCTGTTGATTGTAAATTTCAACTATTTCGCGTGGCGTGTATTGGTTCATGGTAAAAATCTGCTTGGACTGACGCTTCAAACGCGGTATGTCATTAAGCGATGTGACATCTTTGTCAAAAGTTATGGCGTTGCCAGATGGGTCCGTCGAATATGGGCAACCCTGTATCTGAACCGATTTTCTCCGAAATTAATGTACTTGCTTCTAGTCTGAATTCGGTCGTATATGCCAAAATTCAGTTCATTTGGACTGATTTTGGCCATTTGGTGCACAATTAATTCGAAATCGGTTGAGGATATACAGGGTGAGATAAAAAACTGCAACAAAGTGAAATGCCATAATTTTTACATTTTTTTAAATGTTATTGAATGAAAGCAAAAAATATCGGAAATAGCATCAAATTTTAGAATAAGTTTAGATTTGTTTGAATCGGTCACCTTTGGCACGAATTATGGCCTTCAAACGGCAAATGAAACCACACCCGCATGTTGCTCTGCGGCGAAGCGCTTGCTTGAGGTGATCGACACTTTGGTTTTAGTGCCAACCTTGCTTTCCAAAATACTCCAGACACAATAGTCCAAGGGATTGCGGTCTGCGCCCAAAATGTTTGCGTACCCAAGGCACCCTCTTTCAATAGGTTTTGTCCTTGGGTCAAACAAATATTATTTAGAAAATATCATCTCAATCGGATAATAAATGCGACCTTCATTTTGTTCACAAAAATACATGGACAGACGGACGGACTGACATGTTTAAATCGACTCAGAATGTAGTTCTATGAAGAACCTCAAAAGTAACTTTGGGTCTATCTCGCTTCCCTCTCCATGTTACAAACAAAGGCACACAGACAATAACCACTATGTAGAGCAGGATATAAATAATATGGTGTGTGAAATTAGAGTTATTCCACAGTTTGAAATTTGAAAAAATTGAAATATTTTCAATAATTGTACGAATTTGACGATTAGTTGTTCGGCAGAGAATTCACGGGGTTCTAATGTCAAAAAGGGGTCCTAATTGATGTAAAGAGGTTCAAAGAGAACTGAAAATTATCGAAATAAGGAGGATTAACAAACTGTCACTCCCCATTCAATACTAGTAAAGCTTTTTATTTAATTTTATTTAGTTTTCTGCAATAAAAATTTCTCTTAATATTCTCAAAACGAATTCTCAGCTTAACAATCAATAACTCACACATTACTCTCAGGGACTCTGTGCAACCACTTTATTGTATTATCACCTTAGACAGGAGACTCATAATAATATTTATGTTTTTTTAAAGTTGTTAATATTTTAACGACCATAAATTAAAATCCTCACTTCAGTCTTCATTGTTTTTTAGAGCCTTATGAGGTTCTTTATTATTATGCTTTTAAAATAATAAATTGTGAGCTTAGCAGAAATGTGAATAAAAAAAAACAGGGAAGGAGATGATACAGTCAAACCAGGTTATAATGAACATGAGGGAAAAAATATTTTTTTCCTTTTCGACTGTACTCCGACTGTACATTTATAAGTCCATAACATTTATTAATTGCATTAAATATTATCATAAGTTATTCTTTTTAGTACTGCCCTCACTGTATCAAATCCTCACATACATGAGTGCATTGTTTAAGATAATTACCAACTGCTTTTGGTTTATTCCCTTATTATTCATTGTTTTCTTTCTCTTCTTCTTCTTCGTCTTCTTTCAGTTTGGACTCACGCGGCGGAAATGTAAAATTGGCCACCCATTCAGCCATAGCTAGCGATTTGGGTCAACGTCTATTCTTTTCCATTGGCGATAATCCCAAGGATTCACGTCTTCAGATACGCGATGTTATACCAACGGATGGCGGTGTTTATCGCTGTAGAATAGATTATTTCAATTCGCCAACGCGTAACTATAGAATAAATTTAACATTGGTTGGTAAGTTGATAAAACAAAGATGACAAACAAAAAAAGAGTGAAACAGAAATGAAAAAAAAAAATCTAGGATATTCAAAAGCAAACGAATAAAAAAGAGTTATTGTTTTAGTAAAAACAATAATAACAACAACAACAGCAGCAGCAGCACCTGTCTAGGAAAAGATGAGATGATGAATAGTTAAAAATATGCTCTGATGGTGCAAATGAAGTTATGGAGCTTAGACATTGGGTTTGTTTGGAATTTGGAAAAACAATAGAATCATCCTTAAAAATTTTAGGAAAGGGGAATAAGAAAATAAACATACGCGCTGATGAGGCATGTGGTGCTACTGATGTTATGGCGTTTAGATATAGGGGACAGTGGGTTTGTTTGGATTTTGGTAAACATTCGGCTCTTGCTTAAAAATATAAGGAAAGGGAATAAAGGGTGGAATCGTTGAGATCAACTTTTAATTGAAAATTGTAGCAACAATACACACAAATATTATTAAAATTCTGTCCAATGACATAGAATAAGTCGATTTATGCACGTCCGTCTGTTTATCTTTCCATAGGCTTTTATGCAATGTTCAGGTCGCATTTATTGTTCAATTGAGATGACATTTTGTAGAGACCATTTTTTGATACAAGGTTATTAAAATTTGTAAAAATTGGGCAGATAAATGCATTTTAGTTCATACGACCTAAAAGTATGTCAAATTTGATGAAAATCAGTTCTGATAAAGCTATATAAAGTGTGAAATGAAAAAAACTGCAACCAACTTCAGACTGCTGTCATTTCTAAGCCACTCGTCCGACAGCTGTTAAAATTATTCCAGTGACAGCTCATTATATTGTTTGCAAAGCGTTCAAAAGCATTTTGGTGAGAATTTCCCAGAAAAAAGTTATTCGTGATGGAATTCAAGTGTTCTTTCTTTATATTTGGCTGGAAAACCAAAAGTGGCTTTCGTTAGAGCACTCCAGCATTTAAATGTGAGTAAATCTTTTGTGTCTCGTACCATCGCTCGTTACCGTGGTACTGGTAGCGTAGCCCGACGTCAAGGAAGTGGACGGAAGAAAACAGCAACATAAGCAGTAATGGTTCAAAATGTAAAGTAGCGACTTGATCGAAACCCGCCTCGCAGTAGCCGAAAAATGGCTCGTGAGCTGAACATATCGCAATATGCCATTCGGCAAATATTGAAAAGTGAGCTCGGCGTAAAGCCATTAAAATTCCAAAAAGTGCAGGAACTTAAACCGCAACAGAAAGAAAATAGACTCAAAAGAGCTAAAGAGTTGATCCGCTTGGCCGAAAGTGGTGAACTTCCGAATTTGGTTTTCTCCAATGAGAAAACATTCGTTGTCCAGCAGTTTGTAAACAAACAAAATTTTTACTTGCCAAAGAGGTCAGCTGAAAATGTGCACCTTCGGTTGGCCACCAGAACTCAAGCGCCGATCATGGTGATGGTGTGGGCCGCCATAACGGCCGATGGTCGCTCTTCGCTCGTATTACTCGATCGGAATAAATGCCGAAAATACTCTGGAGGGTGTATTAAAGCCATGGGCACACAAACATTTTGGCCGCAGACCTTGGACATTCCAACAGGACTCAGCACCATCGAACTCAGCACGCGCCACCCAAGAATGGTTACAAAATGAGTTTCCTCGCTTCATTTCCAGACTACAACGACCACCAAAATCTCCGGATACCAATCCGTTGGGCTATGGTGTCTGGAGCAGTTTGGAAAACAAAATTAGCACTAAAAAATATCAAAGTATCGATCGCCTCAAGCAAGCGCTTCGCCGAGAATGGGATAAAATACCGCAGAGCAAAACATTCGGGCAGCGTGTGACGGTTTCATTGGCCTTTTGAAGGCCATAATTCGTGCCAAAGGTGATCAATTCGAACATATCTAAACTTGTTCTACAATTTGTTGATATTTCCGATGTTTTGTGCTGTCATTTAATAAATTTTAAAAAAATAATGTAAAAATGAAGGCTTTTATTTAGATATTTTCAATTTTCTAACGATAGCCACTTGTGGTTTTCCAGAATAACCTTTTTTCTGGAAAATTCTCACCGCAATGCTTTTGAACGCTTGTAAACAATATAATGAGCTGTCACTGGAATAATATTAACAGCTGTCGGACGAGTGTCTTAGAAATGACAGCAGTCTGAAGTTAGTTGCAGTTTTTTCATCTCACGCTGTGCACTTGAAGAAATCACAGCCGAACTATAAAATTTTTGAACAAAATACTTCTAATTTTAACATTTCAATCGTCATCACTTTATTTTCAACTCACCACCTTTAAATCGCGTAATTTAAAATAGAATATTTTCCAAAACACCTTTGCCTAGAAATCTAGTCGGTATAAAAATTCCCACGTTGGCCGAACACAAAAACCCCTTGTCTGGTGGTTAATGGAAACAAAAATATATTACACCACCCACTGTGATAAAAACTACTTGCGTACGTTGGGAACGCACATACACACCAATGCAATATGCATGCCAGTGACACTTTCAAATCATTTATAGGTGTGTATTTGTGTGTGTGTTTGCTTTTACCCACATTGATATTTACGTTTTTAAAGTAAACATGGCAAAAATTAGAAGAGACACTTTTCACTATCACGTTTCGGGCAAAAGTTGGTCCGTGTCGGTTGGTGTTGTTGGGAAAAAGTTTTTCCCCAACATTCATACGTTTTCCCGGTTGGACAACATTGAGTTTTTACGCTTTTTCCATTATCCGCAACGCGATAAAGTTTGACATGGCACGAGGCATTGCTGTGGCATCACCACGCATACCTTGCCAGTACCTTATTCTAGGTGAATGTGTGTGTGTGTGTGCGTGAGTGAGTACTGTTTTGTGGAGTGTTTCTGTCGGAGTTTGGTTCGTGCGATACGTGGATAAGGAAAATGTGATTACGCACATGGTCGAATGAAGAGAGAAAATACCACCACATTCATATCCGTTGAGCCATACCATACCGTTGAGGTGCCATCACCACACACAAACACACAGACATACCCGCGTACAAACTTACATCTGCATATGGGATACTTTCAGACCTAATGAATATTCCTGAATGCAGCTCACGTTCTGTCTTCGTTCTTGAGGCCCGTTGTCACTACCACTGCTGATGCTGCTGCTGCTGTTGTTTCGAACAAAATCACGTGGAGAAATTTATGTACAACTTGCGTTCCATGCTTTTAACTTTCATATGACCATAATAATATTTATACGCTTGTTTTTCCTGTCTCCTTTGTTTCATTGTTTGCTTGTTTGTGTCTTCTTTTTTTATAGTTCCTCCAGAAGAGCCTCGCATATTCGATGCCCAAGGTAATGAAATTGCCCAGGCAGGACCATTTCGTGAGGGTTATGAAATGTTTTTATGCTGTCAAGTCAAAGGAGGTAAGTTGATAATCAAAAACAAAAAAAAAAAACAGACAACCTGAGAAGGTAACATAAAACTAAAAAACTACTTAAAGGACCAAGGACAAATACATCTGACAGCCATTACATGGACAATATTTAAGAGAATCAGACATACTTTAATAAAAAAAAAACTTTGCTTGTTGATGTGTCATTATACCCTATACCACAAGGTAGTCAGGGTATTATGTCTTTGTGCATTTGTTTGTAACAGGCAAAAGGAAACGAGATAGACCCATAGTTCCTTTTAATGATCTGCATATAATCACATTCTGAGTCGATTTATGCATGTCCGTCCGTCCGTCCATGTATTTTTGTAAACAAAGTACAGTTCACATTTATTGCCCTATCCAGATGAAATTTTGCACAAATCATTTGTTTGGCCCAAGGACGAACCCTATTGAAATTGGAGGTAATCGGTCAAAATTTAGATATAGCTCCCATATATATGTTCGTCCGATTTTCTCTTTACTGTGTACAAACGTGTAATATCAGTCCGAATAGTATGGAATTTTGCACGTACGATCAGATTGGACCTGAAAATAAGTATGCCAAATTTGATCGAAATCGGTTCAGATGTAGCTATAGCTCCCATATATACTGTTCATCCGATTTGTTATTTTTGTCCTCCGCAGCCGTATTATGCACTCTGTAACAACAATATTTGGGGAAATATATCAAATACAGCTCAGAAATACATTTGCTAAATTTTATCGAGATCGGTTCAGATTTGGATATAGCTCCCATATATAACTTCGTCCGATTTACCTTTGATTGTGCACCAAACGTCTAATATTTGCCCAACTGGGATGAAATTTGGCACTTGCGACCAAATTGAGTCTAGAAGCTAGTATGTCAAATTTGGTGAAGATCGGTTCAGATATAGCTATAGCTCCCATATATATTGTTCATCCGATTTGTCATATTTGTTACCCACAGTCGTAATATGCACTCCGTAACAACGATATTCAGGGAAATATATCAAATACAGCTCAGAAATATCTTAGCCAAATTTTATCAAGATCGGTTCCGATTTGGATATAGCTCCCATATATATTTTTATCCGCTTTCAAATTAATTGTGTACCAAATGGGCAATACAAGTCCGAATTTAAAAGATACAAATTCTTCGGCATATTTAGTCCTTTAAACTTTAAATTATTAGTATAATCATAGCGTGTGTGATTGAAATCTCCCATAAAAACTTTTAATTGTTATGCGGAGCTCTACTAAATTAGCAAAGTGGTGTAGGGTATCATAAAATCGGCCCTGTCCGATTTTAGGACTTTCTTTACTGGTCTTAAGTCTTAAGAACACAGCAACACATTGAGCAGGAAAATGTGTCCATATATTTCTTGAAACATCCTTTTTTGCGGATCTTGAATGCTGTGACCATGACCATGACAATAAAAATGCTAAATGATTCATTTTTGTTTTGTTGGTCTCTGCTTTGCCTTCTTGGCGCATCCTTATCATCACCATCTCCTTCATCACAAAAGGCCATTAAGAATGCGTAAGTCTTAACAGTGGCAAAGGCCAAGTGTCTTGCATTTCGTTTTGGCATTGTTTAAGCATCATCCACCATTATGTCATAAAGTGACATGCTTCCATTTCTCATAAAAGCCCATCTTGTCTTCTTCGTCTTCATCGTCACCGCCTTTAGCCTCTTTACCAAGACAAAGAGCCGTCCATAACCAGGATCCTTGGGATTCCTAAAGTATGTGCAAATGTTGTTATGCCATAAAGTAAGAATGTATGTGTGTGTATGTTGATACAATCTCATTGGTAGTTGCACCCCGTTCACATGGTGGCTCATCCCAGTAACATACATGTATATTCATTATCTCTTATGAGTTGATTGTAATACAAATGTGTAAGAGTCATTCTTCTTTGATGGGCGGACAGCACTGTGGGCAAAAGTAATTGTTATATAATTGTTATATAATGGAAGATCTTCTGGAAGCATTGCAATTTTTGAAGGTATTCTTACAGACCTTCCGCAAGTAAAGCAAATAATAAAGACCATTTTTAGATCTCTTCAAGTAAAGAAAGGATTTTTCAATTATCTTTGATTTAAAAAAAAAAAAAAATCTGGATGTAATTTTTGATATGACCTTTCGGTACCTTCATTAAATACTACACTGGACATTTTTAAGTTAGGAAGACCCTTGAACATTTATTTTCATAATTTTGGGTTTCCTTTAAATGTGTAGTATATATAAAACCAGTAAAGAAAGTCCTAAAGTCGGTCGGGGCCGATTTTATGATACCCTACACCACTTTGCTAATTTAGTTGAGCTCCACATAACAATTTAAAGTTTTTGAGGGAGAATTCAATCATACACCCTATGATTATAATTTAAAGTTCAGAGCACTAAATATGCCGAAGCATTTGTATCTTTTTAATTCGGACTTGTATTGCCCATTTGGTGCACAACTAATTTGAAATCGGATAAAAATATATATGGGAGCTATATCGAAATCAGAACCGATCCCGATAAAATTTGGCAAAGATATTTCTGAGCTGTATTTGGTATGACAAATCGGATGATCAATATATATGGGAGCTATAGCTATATCTGAACCGATCTTCACCAAATTTGACATACTAGCTTCTAGACTCAATTCGGTCGTAAGTGCTAAATTTCAACCAATTTGGGCGAATATTAGACGTTTGGTGCACAATATAAAGTAAGTCGGACGAAGTTATATATGGTAGCTATATCCAAATCTGAACCGATCTCGAATTTAACAAATGTAATTCTGAGCTGAATTCGATATATTTCCCCAAATATTGTTGTTACAGAGTGCATATTACGGCTGCGGAAGACAAAAATAACAAATCGGATGAACAATAAATATGGGAGCTATAGCTATATCTGAACCGATTTCGATCTAATTTGGCATACTTATTTTCAGGTCCAATCTGATCGTACATGCAAAATTCCATACTAACAGATCTGTCCATACGGACAGATATTACACGTTTGGTGCACAATAAAAGGCAAATCGGACGAAGATATATATGGGAGCTATATATAAATTTTGACTGATTATCTCCAATTTCAATAGGGTTCGTTCTTGGGCCAAACAAATCTCAATCGGATAATAAATGGGACCTGCATTTTGTTCACAAGAATACGTGGACAGACGGACGGATGGACAGACGGACTGACATGCATAAATCAACTCAGAAAGTGGTTCTATGCAGATCTTCAAAAGGAACTATGGGTCTATCTAGTTTCCTTTTGCCTGTTACAAACAAATGCACAAAGACATAATACCCTGACCACCTTGTGGTGTAGGGTATAAAAATTAGAGACCTTCTATCCGCAGAAAGATTTTAAAATAATTAGAAATTGGAGGTATACTATTTAAGTAAGGGTTTTTGGAGAGATACTGTATTTATGGACCCTCCTGTATATCAAAGAATACAAAATATATAAGACTTGTTGATGATTTTCTTTGTATAGAAAATGACAGCTCAGTGGTCTTCAGTGTTATGACTACATTTTTGAAGTCTTTTCCGCGGAAAGGACATTTTCGAAATGTCCTTGTTAGGATATAACAAAAGAAAGACAAATGTATCTAAGGTACAGAAGACCATAAAAGGACTCCTATTTAGAGAAGACTTCAATTAGATTTCTTATTTTCAGAAGACCACAAAACCATTTTTAAGCAATATCTCTAACATATCTTCTACTCAAGAGAATATAGCGAAAATATCCCTTTTCTTCAGAATTCATCTATAGGAGATTTAACATGTAAAAAATCATTAAGCTCGGCCGGGCCGAATTTTAAATAACTTGCACCATTTGGAAGAAATTTGGAAATTTTCATAAAAATAATGTGAAGAATACTGTTAAAACCATTTGAAAGGAATTTGGAAATTTTCATAAAAATAATGTGAAAAATGCTGTTAAAATCATAGAAATTTCGAATATAAAGAATTACCCTTAAATTAGGACCTATACGAAGACGGGGACCTGCATAGGCAAATTTTGTCATAGGCCATTACAAAATTCAAACTTAAAACAATTCCGGTAAATAATGTCGTAAAAATATCAAAATACCGAATATAGGGAATTTATATAGGTAATTTTCTGTCACAAACTATAGTACTCGGTACGGATTGCAAACTCGAAATTTGAAACGATTCCGGTGAAAAAAGTCCCTAAATTCATAGAAATACCGAATTCATAAAAAGTCGTGGAACGTGAACCTGCGTAGGAAATTTTCTGTCATAGGTTGAAATACCCATTACGAACTGCAAATACGAAATTTGAAATAATTCCGGAGAATAAAGTTGCTAAAATCATCGAAATACCAATTATAGGCAGGTAACGTTATATGTATATGGACCAGCATAAACAATTTTCTGTCACAGACTGGAGTTTCCATTACGAACTCTAACTGCGTAATTTGAAAACATTTTGGTGAATAAAGACGCTAAAATCACCAAAATACCGAATATAGGGAGGTACCGTTATATGGGGGCTATACGGAGACGTGGATCTGCACAGACGATTTTCTGTCTTAGGCTGTAGTATCCATTGCGAACTTCAAATACCAAATTTTGAACAATTCCGATTAATAATGTCGCTAAAATCAACAAAATACCAAATATCGGGAGGCACAGTTATATGGGGGCTATACGAAGACGTGGACCTGCACAGACAATTTTCTGTCTTAGGCTGTAGTATCCATTTCGAACTTCAAATACCAGATTTGAAACAATTCCGGTGAATAATGTCGCTAAAATCATCAAAATACCGAACATCGGGAGGTACCATTATATGCGGGCTATATGAAAACGTGGACCTACATGGCCCATTTACGAACTTAATCTGCCTACTGTAAAAATAAACATGTGTGCAAAATTTTAGCCTTGCATCGCAATTCGTTCGAAAGATAGCGTGACTATAGGAGGTACCATTATATGCGGGCTATATGAAAACGTGGACCTACATGGCCCATTTA